TTCAGGAACAAAAGTCAGATTATTCGCAGACGATTGTATAATATATAGAACAATAAAGACAACACAAGACTCAGATATTTTACAAAGAGATTTAGATGAATTACAGAAATGGGAATCAAATTGGAGCATGTCTTTCCACCCAGAAAAATGTCAGTTATTAAGAGTAACAAAAGACTACAACAAATTATATCCACGTATCTTATTCATGTAAACCAGTAACACCGACTAAAAACGCAAAATACCTTGGTATTATAATAAATGAAAAACTGTCATGGAATCCCCATATTGATGAAACTATCAAAAAATCAAACAAAGCATTAAGGTTATTAATAGAAATTTCTATAAATCAAATAAGAACATAAAACTAAAATATTATTTAACCTTGGTTAGGCCAGTAGGCCTAATAGAATATGCATCCTCAGTTTGGAACCTCTCAACTCAAGAAAACATTAAGAAACTAGAACAGACACAAAATAGAGCACTTTTTCGAAAGCTTTAATAAAAATCCATTTTTTAACACTTATCAATAATAATAATTTAATTTATAAAGCGCTGTTAACGAACATAATTTATGCTTAAGGCGCTGTGATAACATTACAAACATAAACACGAGAGTTGAAATGACAAACTAATCTAAAAAAGTTTTGAACAGATAGGTAGCATGTTGTCTGTCTGAGATCAATAGGGAATGAGTTCCAAGCCTTTAGTCCGTGCACTGTTAAAGCGCATAAACCAAAACTGTTAAATTTCTAGAAAAATCGTTAGAGCCTTTTTTTTTTAGATCCGTGTCCAGGTTACAGGTTCCACCACTATCCACCCTCCACGAAATTGTGACTTGAATAGAGATATTGAATGTAAAGAGGTTGAAAGTGAACTAAGCCATCTTAAGCTTAACAATATCATTCATAACAAGATCACTTGGACTTAAGAAAGTAAGTGGTCGTGGGACTGAGTATAAAATCTCGTTGAATACTGGGATTTTGTATAACGGGATCTTAGGACGCCTGACATTAGTTAGGGAAAAGTAAAGACGGTTGATCGTTGTGCTGGCCACATGACACCCTCGTTAAAAACAGATAAACTTTGTATTACTTGCCCCATTGACCTCAAGGTCTGAAAGAGGTACTTTCTTACCTTAAGAAACTAAGGGGTCCTAGATCGAGACCAGTCGTCAAAGAAGGTCTCAACACTGACTTGCAACGTCACAACCTGTGGGCAGTTTAGACCAATAGCTCGTTGCCACGCAGGTTGTGACGTTTCAGGTCAGTGTTGAGGCCTTCTGTAACGGAAGAATCTCGCTTAATTATCTACTCGTAGCTCCTGCACTGACCTACTCTCGTGTGCTCTGAAGAAATGGGTGTGGTAATGACCTGAGTCAGACTCATCTGAGCAGCTCAACTCAGTAAGATACTGACGTATCCACTGTTAAACAAAGCAGGCAAAAACACGTGCCCGCGTGTTTACGCAGTGAATAAATTCAAACCCTTCTGATTGAGTGGCACGAGGTAATCATGGGACAACAGACAAGACGTCAAAAGTAGTCGATAATACACTCTTATCGAATTAAAAACACCTCGGTAGGAAAACAAAAAAAAACAAAAAAAACTCGATACTCTCTCATCTCTGCAGCCTATTTAAACACATCCCTCGTAGTTGAGTGACACATGAAAATAGTTCTTCCTGAGGAACGTGGACATTTGATTAACAATACTTAGCACGTTTACACATATTGCATGTGACGACGTAACAAAGGTGAAGGTTACAGATGGAAATTAATACACTGTACAGAAGTTATAGACTTGTATTCAACTCGTTTATATAACATTTGAATTTTAAAAAATACGCAGTTATATATATATATATTGGGGGATAAATTAGACCTTGTTCTTGCAGGTCAATCGCTATACTGATAATCTTAAGCTCAAATCATGCTAGAATATTGGGTGTTTTTTGTGTTTTTTTTTTTTTTTTTACATTCAGAATAATATGCATCTCTGAATCAATCTATTTATAGAACTTAATTTGAGACTCTAAACAAAGCTCTAACCATAACTTTTCCCAGTGCTTCTAAAATAGAAAAGAAAGACTCTAGCCATAGCACTATCCAGGACTGAGCTATTATTTCAGTTTTTCAGCAGTAATAAAAAGATGAAGGGTTAGTGTCTTCCCTTGGGGAGGAGCCTAAATGAGTGATACATCTAGTAAAAAGAATGTTACCTTTCCCTTTCAGACCGTGCACTCTATGAGTCATGTGAGTGTCATGTGGTCAGCACAAGAACCAACAGCTTTTGCTTTCCGAAACTAAAATCAGTTACCTATTAGAGTTGTCTGGACTAAGGGGCATCCTAAAAATCCCGAAATTCAAAATCCCAGTCTTCACCGAGATTGGAACGCGAGAATCTTCGGTTTGGAAGCCAATCGCCTTACCACTCAGCCACCAGCGATACATTTACAAAGATAAAATTAGACACTAATTTTATTATCAACATTAATAATGTACAGTTGCCAAAATGTGAGCTTTGTGCAGAATTAAAGGGTTTCGGAAAAGGCAATGTATCATTATGTGTGTGCAGTTTAATTTTTTTTAATTTTTTTTTTTTATCAAACAAAGTTGTTGTAATTTAGGTTACAGTAATATGTTTATTATTGTTGTTTAGAGTTCTGGTAGGAGGGAAATAACCTTTCTTTCTAGATGTCGTTGAAACAGTAATTGTTTTATTAATGATGGTGAAAGCTGCGTTTTTTTTTGTTATATCTTGAAGAATAGACGTAGTCGAAGGATGTCTTTGATAAAGTTTTACAAAATAACTTTAAGCAATGTAGGCTCATTTTTAATTAGGTCTGTAAAAAATATTATTAGAACTCGTTTCATTCTATACGAATGTTTTTGTTTATGGAAACAGCTACTGTGATGTCATGTCAAAATATCTGGTGTTGATATAAAAATACCAGTGATGGCCGCCTTCAGTCTTATCTTATCTTACATGATACAGACGTTACTTCAAAAAAAGAAGATGATTACGTCCTACGCGTCATGCATTTAGTCATGCATATTAACCAATGACCTAAACTCCGCCAAGTCACTGGTTTTCCTAGCTAGCTCAGGCAACCCATTCCATGCTCTAATAGCACTAGGGAAGAAGGAGCTTTTGTACATATGGAACGAGGAATGTGCATTTACTGTGTCTAATCTGGTAGAGTATTTCTTGTTGTAGCTTATGAAGTTGTTTGAGGAGCGGCATTTTCGCGCGTGAAACTAGAACCTGGCTTTGCCCTGGATATGTAAGATGTATTATTTTTGTGTTGAAGCGAGACCAGTTGTTAACGAAGGCCTCAACACTGACCAGCAACGTCGCAACCTGTGGGCAGTTTAGACCAATAGCGCATTGCATAGTCGTACAGACCTGTATCGTGGCAACGAGCCATTTGTTTATTTTTTTTTTTGGGTTAGGTATAATAATAATATTTTTCTAATTTGAACTATGCAGCTCTGCCTCTCTTCTATTTCTCTTAAAATATGGAAACATTTTATACTGTTGGTGCAATTGTAATCATTATGCATTGTCAGTTGTGTGAAAGTGGAATCGTGCGAATGCGTGTTGAAAGAAGGGAGATAGGGAGATTCAAAATTGAGGAATCATAGACATAGATAAATATAGACTGGCCGATAAAATAGTTTTATGAAACGAAATTTGTGACGCAATTTTGTGTACTTTATTATACAGCATTTATGAGCAGTGTAGTTTTGTTTAATCTCTAAGACTGAAGATCATGCAACTTTTCAGAAGTCGGAAATCCGACAACAATAGATATACATGTTTTCAAGTTACATGAAGTTATTTCCTTTTTCCAGTCTGTATTTATTGATGTCTATGTGAGCAATATAAACAAAATAGTGTTTACAATGTTAGTTATTAAATTAAGATTAAATTAGTTCTGAAATTATAATTTTGTAAATTAAGATTAATTTAGTTATAAAATTATAATTTTGCCGTTTGGTGTTAATATATTGTTGAAAGAGTCTCGTCACGTAGCAAGACATAATGTGCACATAGTTTGACTTAATTTAACTTAAATGTTAAATGAGCGATGCATTCAGGTAAAAAGAGGATAAATGTAAATAACATTAAAGGCTCCTAAATAAACTTTGTTAATGGCGTTGGCTCAACGATTACAGCTTCAAGGTCTGATTTACGACAGTGCCTCACCCTTTAGGGGTCCTTAACATATAAAAGAATATATATAATTTTTAACAAACAATGCAAATAAAATGAAAGTTATGAAAATTAATTACAATTACAAATACTCTATTTTTATACACCAACATGACATATTTTTTAGAGTTTTAAATATTATTAAGTGAATTATTAATATTAAAGCTTGTGGAGGGTATAAGGGCCTTTACAAACATCCTAACCTGGGCCTCCAATTACTATAACTCGGTACTGATGACTCTACATTCTATTTTTTGAATTCACTGTGTTCCAGAAACACTAAAACATTTTAACTTTTTTAGACAACGGCGTTGAAAGGGGCTCAATTTCAAAGCAGTTTCATAACATAGAAAACATTTAGACATTATTTAAGTAGTGCATAGTGTTTTGGTCTTCCCATGATATTGTGGACAATAGTAGAGCCTTACAGGATTTCATATATTTTTTTTCTGTTATATTTCTGTTGAATAAGACAAGTTACTTTACTTTGACATAAACATATAATATATATATATATATATATATATATATATATATATATATATATGTTAAAAACAAACAAAACACATTAATTGTAAGATTTCATTTTATTGAAACACAATGCCAAATCTGTTTGTAAGATACATCAACATAAGATATCACCAATCTGTAATCATGCATGCATGAGGAGATAATTGTTGGTTGATGAGGAGAAGAGTAGTTGTTCACTCCCCTTGCCTTTGGTGCCTGGTCGTGAGGTACACTATACTGGCGTCACGATGGCCAAAGTTCAAACCCTGCTCACTGCCCTCTCTTTCAGAAGATTTGAGCTAAGACGTGATAATGATTATTTCTGAAGATAAACTTATAAGACAAGATAAGCTCGTAGAAACAAACTTATTTAACATTGATGAAACGCTCATTAATTAAAGAATAATTTCTAAACAAACTTTGACGTTTCTTGTTGAGACCATGAAACCTGCTTTATTTGTTTTACTGATAATAAAAGAGAGAATGAAAACATCAGAATACAACTAACGTTATAATAAATCTACAATTTGTTGATTATCAGTGTCGGTGGTTGATTTATCAAGCATAAGGTGATCACTCACGATTTAATATGGAATCTCATGGAATGACCTACCAAAGCTTTAAACTCTGCATGGTCCACCTTACAATTTATTGTGGTCCTGTTGACTGACCTACCGAGCGTGCATGGTCCACCTACAATTTATTGTGGTCCTGTTGACTGGCCTACCAAGCGTGCATGGTCGAACTACAATTTATTGTGGTCCTGTTGACTATCCTAACAAGCTTGCATGGTCCACCTACAAGTTATTGTGGTCCTGTTGACTGTAATAAACAAGCTTGCGTGGTCCACCTACAAGTTATTGTGGTCCTGTTGACTGGCCTACCAAGCGTGCATGGTCCACCTACAAGTTATTGTGGTCCTGCTGACTGGCCTACCAGGTGTGCATGGTCCACCTACAAGTTATTGTGGTCCTGTTAACTGGCCTACCAAGCGTGCATGGTCCACCTACAAGTTATTGCGGTCCTGTTGACTGGCCTACCAAGCGTGCATGATCCACCCATTCGCTCGCCAAGTTCTACCCACGAGCGAATGGAACGATCACGTTAGATTAGCAGACAATTTCAAACGCTGCCGGAACTGATTTGTGTGCCCCCCTGCAGAATTAAACGGACAGATATTTTAAAGAATTAAATTAAACGAAACAAAATAACAGGATAACTTTTAGCCTCGGTTTCAGAACGAGACTCATGAGCAAGCGAAGTATTTTATTTGAAATATGTAACTAACAAACTTCCCGCGCACATTCCCAGATACAAAAGCTGTTAGGAAAGTAGATCTAATAATATTCAATCAGCACAGGGTAGGCCTACAACTTCTGTAGCTACAATGCACCAGGTAAGCTCCGTCCATTTGGTCACATTATTGTCTAAATTTACCTTGAGACATGTCACTTTTATAAAGGAGGCAAAAAAAAAGGGGGAGGGGGCGGGCAACACGTGAGAGAGACAATAATCAAAAGTCAATTTTAGCAGTCACCCTATAAATTCACTAGACTTTTGTTTAGCTTCATAAGCAGTAACATAAATCGCCAAATTTTTATCTTTTTTTACTGTATTTTTTTATTTCGTGAAACAAAGAACGAGCACATTTAAAACGAGAAAAACACAACAACTATATCTATCTATCTATCTCTCTCTCTCTCTCTCTCTCTCTCTATATATATATATATATATATATATATATATATATATATATATATTAGAAAATTTTCCCTTTTAGACCTAGCGATCTATGGGGCACATGATGTTAAGATGATCTGTTTCTGTGGCCAACGGTTAACGAGCAGGGTGTCATGTGGCCAACACAACGACCAACCACCTTTGCTTTCCCCAACTAAAGTCAGGTAGGTACCCATTAGAGTTGGGTGGACTCAGGGGTACCCTAAAAATCCCGAAATTCAAAATCCCATATTCGAACCCAGAATCCCAGGTTCGGAAGCTGAGCTCTCAACCACTCAGCCATCGTGCCCAACATATATATATATATATATATTTCATTTTCTACAAATCTAGCCCGGTAGATCTAATTTTCTTTACAATAACAATTAATCATTTTGCAATCCTATTGCAAATCGCATAAAATATTGCCCCTTTGTATCGGTGATAAGCTATTGTCTTTAGGTAGATCTAAAAAAAAAAAATTGTGTACATGTTATTAGTTTCTAGTATTAAACAGAAGAAACAAGCGCTAAAATTGAGACAAATTATTAATATTGTGAGGATCTTTAGAATTTCCTTCTAAAATGTAAAATGTATCATTTGCAAATTGTTTAAATGTAACACCTTATCGGCTATTATTGAGTTTTATTCACTTAAATATTATTGAAAAATGGACAACTTCAAAATATTTTTGTCAAATTTTAATTTAAAAAAGTTCTTAATAGAATCATTCAAACTAAAATGTTCAGTAAGGCTATATATAATTGACTCAATAGCAGCAAGTAAGGACTTTGGAATGTTCAGGGTCTGACCTAATAGGCAATAGTGGCTTTCCCTTTTAAAAATATTTAGTACCACCCCCCCCCCCCTTTCCATTAAATTTCATCCCTTGGAGCTAGAGGGATGGGAAAAGCTTTAAAAGCAAATCTCCCCTCTATACCACAAGAGGGAGGTTTAGGCGACGCTCCAGCCGTCAAGCGAGTTTCTGCATTGTACATCACGAGGCCTCGTCAGCCTCAGAGCCTTCATGAGCACTAATACACGTGGCACTTCATTAAGTCCATCGCTGATAGCAGCACCATCAAAGTCAATCTAATTTATTCATTCAATAAAAAAAAAAAGAAATCAGAGGTATTCATAAAAGGTAACTTAGTAATTTTTCTCATTGAGTTATCTCCCCTTCCTTTTTAACTCCCCTTTATGTCGGCTTTTAACAACCCATTGTTTTTCATTCTTAAGTCTAAAGGGAGAGCAAATTATTCTCCAAATACATGGAAACAAGTATTTACACGTATGCATGCATAACTGCAGTGCTGCCCAACGCAAATATGGCCATATATATCCTTAACTCTATGCGTTATTGTGGTTAGCTTAATCTACATAAAAGAATCTGTATTATGTCATTTCCAGCTAAAAAATGTTGGATATACTTGTAGAGCTGTACCTTACCTCTTTTTCTGTTCTTGTAGAAACTTCAGACCTAACTTGCACCTAAATCAAAAGACAAACCATTTAATTTATAATGTGATGCTAAAATACATCAGTATGTGATGTAGGCAGATATAAAAAAAATTGCACCACCTGGTTGTAAAGAGAATTTGATGACAGCTGTTAGGTAAATCTTTTTTTTTTTGAAGAATTCATTCATTATCATTGTTTGTTTATGTGCAAACATAATCGCACAGCCGTGTTAAGATCTAGGTATACACAGTGAAGTCACTATGAGATGGAGGGGTGTAGGCCGCACCGTGTTACATTCAGTCTAGTGACGCCACGAGGCCTACACATTAATTCCTGATATTGTAACCTGATAAATATTTAGATTGATGATTTTTTGTTCGACAGAAATCTGACATTTTATTTTTCAAATGTTCGCTCTTTAATTTTTGCCAAGGAGGAAGTGACGTCACCTGGAAATCATAGCAGGATAGAGGGGAAATTAAAAAAAAGCACAACTCTTCCATTCACCTTTTCCCAATCGCGAAACTTACTGGTTGACCCTAGAGCAGTGTCTCCCAAACTGTGTTCCGTGGCACCCTAATGTTCCACGAGGCCTGAATAAGTGTTCGACGAACTACTGCCCTGGAATAATTAACTAACAGGCCACCACTTAAATTAATCTCTCTAAAATAGGCAAATTGTTCCGCTAAATACTTCGAATGTGCAAAGTGTTTCGTTAAGGAAAAAGTTTGGACTGAATTAGAGTCTTAGGATATCAGGAGAACAGTTCACAAGTTTAAAATCGGGTTAGTTATCAATACTTAAGGGAAGATTGAACACTTATTCGGTTCGCAGATTGCTCCAACATTATTATCCTATTTTTAAAAAAATTCATTAGAAGTGGTAGGGTTGTCGCCATTTGCTGATTTTAGAGAAATGAAAATTATTTTTTTTTAGTTTTCATTTTTGATTTTTTGTAACTACAATCATATGCCAGAGTATGCTGTGATTTATTCACTTTTGTAGATGGGGGAGGGAGGGGGCAGGATCTGTAAAACGGTTTCCATGCTGATATCTACATCTGGATTTGAGCTCAACACCCCTGTTATATAGCCAAGTAATTTATTCTACTCAGCCGACACTCTAAAATTTCCCCTTACGTTGAAATGGTTGGTCTTTCTTTGTAACTGGGTATCGTCAGTGCATCAGGTTAGAGATGTTTGATCAGCCCCCCCCCCCCCTCCCATCCTTTTACAGACAGCTAGTCTTCATTACAATAATGAACAACACATACCTTAACCAAATGAACTTTTGCTGAAATCTTCAACGAGACCCCTCCCCCTCCCGGCTCAATGGGGGTATTTGAGACAAAAAGCTCTATTCTTAATTTAAAAGTTTTTTTTCACCTCATAACTTTATTATGTCAAAGTTTGTTTTTTCACTAACTTGAAAATTATACAGAGAAGAAAATAACTGAACGCGCGCGCACACACATACACAGAACAAAATGTCGTAAACTTGATCATTTGATTTGTTCCGGGTTACAAGTTGAAGGCAGGTATTGTCCCTTTTTATTGCCAGATACAAATTGTATACGTGTAGTAACGTATGCAAGAAAAACAAAATTTCCCAGGGAGTTTTCGTGACATGCGCAGTCGCCAAAGTGTCGTCCGGGCCAACTTATTAAATGGCTAACAGCTCAAAATTTATTGAGCAATCTGTACACAAAGTGAAATAGATTTGCACTTAAATAGAAACCATAAACATCTATAATTGAATTAACTTATTGCTTACAGGGTTAGGCTCAGTTAATGAGAAAACATAGACAGAGAAAAAACATTCACTGGTGTCAGATTCTCTTTTCTATAATTAGACAAATCACCCTTCCAGAATAGTTAAAGATAAGGTCCTTATATGACGCTCGGGCAGTGGTTCACAAACGTTGTCCTTAACGGAACACTTCGCACCTTCTGAGTATTTAGCGGAACACTTCGCACCTTCTGAGTATTTAGCGGAACACTTTACTTATTTTTTTAGAGAGGTTAATGCACATGGTGGCCTACTAGTTAATTATTTTTTGTGGAACACCTATTCAGGCCTTGCGGAACACTGGGGTTCAGATGAACACAGTTTGGGAAGCACTGCGCTGGACTGTCGTTTGGTAGTCTCGATAGGCCTAGGCTTGAACACTGCCCACTGCCACCCCCCGTTGTCCTGCGAGAGGTTTGAGATAAGAACTGGGTTGCTTTCAACTCTGAAGGAACATCCGAAACTTGTAAAACATCCGAAACATGTAAAACATCCGAAACATGAGAAATATATGAAACTTGTAAAACATTTGCAACATATAAAACATATGA